GCCACCGATCTCGTTAAAGTCACTGTCTCGGTCCAGGCGGACTACAAGACCCAGCATTCCTCCGGGGGCAGTAGAGTGCGCACGCACCCGCCCGGGCGCCAGCCTCAAGGTGACGGCGTCGGGCCAGTGGCGCTGGTGGTTCGAGCCAGCCGAGCCCTCAACCCCACCCGACACTCACTGACGGACTCCGCCGACTCCAGCCGCCCGCGCGCGGCAGCCCCGGAGCAGACGGCCTCCGATGCGACCGAAAGGTGCCAGCCGCGTCAGCGCAGACATACTAGCTGGGAACGGAGACCGATCTCCAGCCCTCCCACCCCTGATGCGTCACTTCCCCACGTCCCGCCCCGTGACGTCACGGCGCCGCCGGTCTCTACCTGGGCGGATGGTGGGCCGCAAGGGTCATGATCAGGCCTATTGGCGCCTGTGGCGGCTCTAGCTTCTATTTGGCGGACCTTGGAGACTCCGGCCTAACGGGCGGACAGGCTGCCCTTCGGAAGGATCTCGGGCTGTCTCGTGACGCAGCCTGGCAAAGTGCTCCTGTCTGACCTTGCTGCTGCTGCTCCCTGCTTTGGCTCATGTAGGCGGCGCCTTCATGGGTGTCCCTGCCACTGTGGGCCCATGTTAATGGCCTAAATCCTTTCTGAACCATGCAATGTTTGTAAGATCTTTCTTCCAGTATTGTTCTGAAACCTGATGACTAACTGGCAGCCAGGGTGTTAAATCGCAGTACATGGACCGGTGGCAGTGGCATCAGGATCACCTGATGAAGAACCTAACCCTGCAATCTCGGAATAAGTAAGGCCAGGAATAGGGGTGAAGGTTCCTGACTCCTTGATTCTTAGCCAGCACGGGATTCTCAGTTTTGTCTTCTGTTGTTATTATTGCAATAAGCAAGCAGAGAAACGAGGACGTGAGGGTAGGCCACTTAATACCAGCGACCACCAAGGTGGTAGCAAACCTGAGAACTGACCTCAATTGTAATAATATTCTGGCAGAAGAAGCTGTAGCACAAATATAAGCACATGTCGAACTGTGTAGCTGCGCTGGTGCACTCGTCCCTTTTCGGGGGAGGGGATCATGACTATTCAAGCTTATCCCCTTAAGGCATACCTTCCTGTTCTGAGCCACTGGGACTGTAGGATAGCCTGCCGTCATCATTCCAAACAACTGTCATTCTTCTTCCACTTTAGATTCCCTTCAAGAAACAAAGGCTCCACTTGCCATTAACAAAATAATCCTCCTGCCTTAGCCGGCTTTTATCTCTCAATATTGCCTTTGTCCAAACCTGGATAGACTCCAACCCTCTCTGACTCACTCCTAAGATCCCCAAATTGTTGAGGTGTGAGAAACGGTTTTTTTCTATAAAAGGTGGCTAGCACATGAAGAGCCAATACTCCAAACATCTCTACCTTGTAAAATCTTTTAATCATCTGGGAAACCTGTTTACACAGAGGCCTTTCATTCTGGGAACTTGATGACAAGCTACTGACCCCTCGCCTCCTTCCTTTGCATCTCTTAGGAATTAGCCAAACAAGGCAGACTGTGAGGTTAATCTTTCACCAAGAGTCAAAGTTATCACCTGTGTTAGAATTACAAGTGAACTTCTTGCCCTACTGTACTTTCAAGGCCAGTTTAGGTTATGCACGTTCTTTTTACAAAAAGGCATTGCCTTGCAGGGTTACTTTTGCTATGTTCTAGTGAGTTTTTGGTTTTGTCTTGTTTTGGTAACATTGAGAATACTGTTTCCAACAATGTCTTCCCTGGTACATTATAGTTTGGCTTTGTATGTTTTCAGAATATGCAGTTTTAAGTTATGACATTAGCCTGCCAAGCTCACTTTGGAGAATCGCTATGGTGTTCCAAATTCAAGAGTCTAATATGGGAATAGATACTTATCAAGGATAGACCTGAATTTAGTGACCCGACTGCATCACATATGACTAATAACTTGCCTTCTGTGCTAACATATGGGACTCTTTGCCCTTGTATGTAACAGGAAACCTGTCCTAGGAGTTATATCCAAACAGAACATATGATTATGAGACCCTGAATAAACTTGACTTCGTCCAACCAAGCCTCCAAATATTGGTTTTTGGGTGGCAAGCAGGCAAGACCTACTCTGAGAACATAAAAAGTGATGGCAAAAAATTTTTATCGTGTATGTGTGTGTGTGTGTTGTTATATGTGTGGGATAACATCAGGAGTAATGCCCTTCCTTAGTTTTAGTTCTGTGCATAGACTGTCACAAAGCATGTAAATTGCTATGAGATTTAACCTGTAGCAGATGATAAGCCTATATTAAGAAAATCCAGGGAAGCTGGAGAGATGGCTCAGTGCTAAAGAGCATGTTCTGCTCTCCTGGGGATCTGATTTCAGTCCCAGCACCCACATTACATGGCTCACAACCACATGTAACTCTATCTCCAAGGCATGATACCCACTTCTGGCCTCCATGGGTACCTGTACTCACTCATGTGCATGTATGTATAAATACACATACTCTCTTTAAAAGAAAACACAGGAACTAATCTATGGAATATTCCTTTACAATGTGTGAATATATGTCACTGTGATTGGTTTAATAAAGAAGCTGACTGACCAATAGCTGAACAGGGTGGGAGAGCCAAACTGAAAATGCAGGGAGGAAGAGGGGTGGAATTGGAGGAGTTGCAAGTAGTTGCAGAGAGGAGCAAGAAGGGCATGCCGTGCTAAGAAAAGGTACCAAGGTACATGGCAAAGCATAGATAAGAAATATGGATTCATTGAAAATGTGAGAGTTAGCTAGTAACAAGCCTGAGCTATTGGCCAAGCATTTATAATTAATATTAAGCCTCTATGCGGTTACTTGGGAGCAGCTTGCAGGACAAAAACTTCCAACACTAATCAGGAAGCTGAGACTGACTGGGATGGTCCCCACAGGGCAGAAACAGACCACACCCTGGATGAGTTCCCCAAAGCTGGAGCTTTGAAGACATTAGCCCCTCCATGCTCTAAATCTGACTCCTTCCCACCAACTCGTCTCCCAAATACTGGCTTTTGAGTGGCAAATTGTGTCTGCTAAAGACAAGCCTTGGGTTGAACCCTGAACCTGTAGAATTCTCTCTATGGATGAAAGTTGACTTTCTAGTTTATATTCAATGGCACGGTTTTCTCTGGGCTACAGTCCACCACTCCTTCTAACAACATGTACAAACCACTAAGAAAGTCCATGAATGGAAAGGGCAGGAGTTGCCAGTCCTTTCTAGAAAGCTCACTTCCCAAACTACAGAGCTGTCTAGCTCTAGGAAGGCCACAGAACAAACACAGCTTACATTTCTAAAAGGCCATAGAGGGCCAGTGAGATGCTCAGTGTGTAAACGGGTAGACCATGCAAACCCAACCTGGGTTGGGTCCTGCCCGGAAGCCAGGGTAGAAAGAGAGAACCAACTCCTGACATTGTCCTCTGACCTCCTCACTCACATATACACATGACACACACAGTAATAACAAATTCTAAGAGCTTAGAAATTGGGAGGCTGAACATCGGGAGTCCAAACCCCTGCTGTGACAATTAACCTTGTGAATTAGGACAAGCCATCTATCTCCTCTGAGCACTAAGGCCCTTCATCTGCAGGAGTCATTTAAGATATTAGGATCAGGCTCATAGCTGCTTCTCAGGGAACTTCTCATTTCCATTTTACCTTCTCCGTCCTAGAATCTGAGTATTGCAGGTAAGCTGAAGGTCATTCACTCATCTTTCTAAATGAATCACCAAAAGGGGGTATATGAGGAAAAAAACAGAGATGACATAACTTCCTAAATGCTTGCTACATCCCCTCCCCACCAAAAAGGAGAGGACGTTGTTGGCTCTACAGCAGTCACTTATGGGGGTGGGGTTTTTGAGGATTGAACCCAGAGCCACATACATGGTAGGCAAGCCTCAACCATTGGGCTATACCACCAGCTTCACTATTCTATTTTGTTGTTTGGTTGGTTTGGGGTTTTTTTGTGTTTGGGGGGAGATGTTTTTGATTTGGGGTTGTTTTGTTTTGTTTTCTTAGTTTTTTTCAAGACAGGGTTTCTCTGTGTAGTCTTGGCTGTCCTAGAACTTGTTCTGTAGACCAAGCTGGCCTCAAACTCAGAGATTTGCCTGCCCCTGCCTCTTGCCTCAAACTCAGAGATTTATCTGCCCCTGCCTCAAGAGTGCTGGGATTAAAGGCATGTACCACCACCACCCAGCTGTATATATCATTTTCAAAAAAAATTTTTAATGTGGTCTGCAAGATTATATGGCATTTTCTAACCTGTGTCTATCTAAGGGCGGGAAGCACCAGCAAGAACCACCTTACCAAAGAGCAGAGTTAAGAAAAAGGAAAAGCAGGCCACCATCATGGCTCTAGTAAAGGTGCTTGATGGCAGGGTTGAAGACCTGAGTTCAATCCCCAGAAATCCCTATGGTTCCCATTTCCACACACATGCTATGGCACATGAGCTGTCCCCCCCCACACTCCCCACAGCTCTCCCTCTCACACAGCAAGTGTAATTTTATTTTATTTTATTTATCTATTTTTTATTTTTTGGTTTTTTCAAGACAGGGTTTCTCTGTGTAGTTTTGGTGCCTGTCCTGGATCTCGCTCTGTAGACCAGGCTGGCCTCGAACTCAAGCGAGATCCACCTGGCTCTGCCTCCCAAGTGCTGGGATTAAAGGCCTGCACCACCACCACGTGGCTCAAGTATAATTTTAAAGCAAAAGAAAGAAGGGGCTGGAGAGATAGCTCAGAAGTTAGGAGCACTTGCTTCTCTTCCAGTCCCCAGCACCCACGCTGTGCAGCTCACAACTGCCTAAAACTCCAGAGGATTCATCCAGGGCCCTCTTCTGGCCTTGGTAGGCATCTGCATACACACGACATACACACACATACACACACATACACACATACACACATACACACACACACACATACATACACATACACACACACACACACACACACACACATTTTTAAAGTTAAAAAGGGGAGGAAAACAGAAAAACAAATGTATTTGTCTTCTTCTGCAGGGTCTTTTCCTGAAATGGTGTCTCTGGCACCAGTTTCGGCTCCCCTCCTTTGTACCCTAAATAACCCCAAATTTTTCAAACAGACCGTGAAGCTAGGTCACCGGGTAATTAGTAACATTTCTGCCACACATCCCAATTTTAGATGTCTCAGCTGCCACAGGACAGACTGTCAGGATCTGCCTTCACTGTGTGCCCACTGCCACAGTCACAGGAACCCTCCTCCTCTGAGCAGGAAGGGCTTTGCTGCCTCCAGGATGTCCAGCTTGGGGTCCAGCGAGCGGCCAAGCCCCTCCAGCACCATGATGGCGAACACAATGGAGGCAAAGTTGCTCTCGAGCTTTACCTGGAACAGAAAAGAAAACAGCAGTTCTTCCCAGAGCTCAGGATTCATCTGAGCATCCTGGACAACCATGTCACTGAGCCCTGCACCTCTCCTGTGCTGCCCATGGGATTCTACCCTCTACCATCTCCCCACCTCCCTCCCAGCAGTCAGAAGGGTACACTAGGGCTTCTGGTGGCCCAAGGACAAGGGTCCATCCCTCACCTGAGCACCATTAACACAAGCCAAGGAGGGAAGGGAGGGGATATCTGGCTGGACCCTTTCTATGTCTTTACATACATTTTTCTCTATCGTCTAAGTCAGCCTGTGGACTGACTACATAGATTGACAGATTCACGGACTTTGTTCTCAAGGGACCATGAGCCCACTAGGCCTGTTTCAGGAGATTAAAAATCCACAATCAATATGCAAAAAATGCTGGAGAAAAGCGGGTCTAACCACCCCACTGCCCCGTGCCCTACCCCACCTCTTCCCAAGCCTTCTCTAATGACACCTCACCTTATGGATCATCAGCAGCTTAAAAACACTGGAAAGGAGGCTGGAGACATGAAGCTGGAAAACAAAGAACCCAGTAGCATCCCAGAAGCATTTCTTCCCTCGAGAAAGAAGGGCTGCCCAACAAGCAACAACAAGGACTTTACCCGGGCGGTGGTGGCGCACGCCTTCAATCCCAGCACTCGGGAGGCAGAGGCAGGTGGATCTCTGTGAGTTCGAGGCCAGCCTGGACTACAGAGCGAGTTCCAGGGCAGCCAGGACTGTTACACAGAGAAACCCTATCTTGAAAACAAAAAAAGGACTTTACCAATACAGGCCCCACTTCCATACAGGCCACAAACGCCTGCAGAAGAAGCCTTAAAGCCATGTCTACTCCATCCTTCTCCCCATCCCTTGCCACACTCAGAATGTTCCCAAGTAAACAGACTAGGGTGTAGCTCAGTAGCAGAGATAGAGGTTTGCCTGGTGTAGGCACGAGTTGGGGGGGGGGGGGGGCACATGTGTTTGTTTGTATAATTAGTAACCATCTGCATAAACCAAGTCACCCAGAATCTAATCAATATTTATATGTGTAATTCAGCTATTATTTGGCTTAAAAGGGCTTACTGGGAAATGTTATCATTTTTACTATTTTCTACAGAGAAAATATTTTCCAGTTTCAAATAACCCTAGAATTTTGAATTATAACCTGTTTTTATGTTCAAGCTATCTGTATATTATTTCTCCTGCACTTGCACATAAAATGTTTTTACATTTAAAAAAAAAGAAGACAAATACTATAGAATTGTATTACATGAAATATATAGAATATACAAATTCATAGAGACAGAAAGATTAGATGTTATCTCAAGATGGAGAAGAAAGGAATATAGAGCAATGATTTCTGAAATACAGACTCTCTATTTTGTGTAATGGAAAAACCCCACAAATGGACAGTAGTATCAGAACATAGTATCATGAATGTAAAAAATCAATACAATCAATGAATATCATAAATATAGTTATTGAATGAATACTGCGAATATAATCAATGAATACCACAAATGTAATTAGTATCATGAGTGTAATTAATGAATATCATGAGTTCAATTAATATCTTGAATGTAATTCATGCCACTGAATTGTGAACTTAAAAATGGTTACAATTGCAAATATTATGTTCGTTTAAAAAAATAAGGTGAAATGTAATCACCATACATTATATGTGTGTGTGAAGTTGAAGACAGCGATGTTCTAAAATAGAAAGTAGTAATAGTGTCATGGGCCTATGAGGATGCTGGACTAAAGTCTATCAAATTGTGCAAACAGGCAAAAAAAAAACAAAAACAGGTCAGCATCACTGGTGGCCACTCTGCATGGCCAGTCTGGCTAATGTAGGCCATCAACTTGACAAAGACAGGCGAGTTAACAGAGTGTAAGTCACCATGGGTCAGGCCAAACAAGGGACACAGGCTCATGACACATCTCTGCGATGCTGCCTCCCCTGCATGGTCAGGTGTCTCCACAACAGCTAGTCCCTAGATAAAGCAGGGGTTCTGCCAGCAAGGAACCTGTGATTTCAGCTTCTTGGAAGAGCTGAGAACAAGAAAAGATTTTTTTTTTTAACCTGCCTTAAAAACTCTACCTCCTGGGGGCTGGAGAGATGGCTCAGAGGTTAAGAGCACTGACTGCTCTTCCAGAGGTCCTGAGTTCAATTCCTAGCAACCACATGGTGGCTCACAACCATCTTAAATGAGATCTGGTGCCCTCTTCTGGCCTGCAGTCATACATGCTGTACACATAATAAATAAATAAATCTTTAAAAAAAAAAAAAAAAAAAACTCTACCTTCAAGCCAGGCAGTGGTGGCGCACGCCTTTAATCCCAGCACTCAGGAGGCAGAGCCAGGCAGATCTCTGTGAGTTCAAGGCCAGCCTGGTCTACAGAGTGAGATCCAGGACAGGCACCAAAACTACACAGAGAAACCCTGTCTCAAAAAACCAAAAAAAATAAAAAATGAAAAACTCTACCTCCTGCTGGGTGGAGGTGATGCACACCTTTAATCCCAGCACTTGGGAGGCAAAGACAAGCAGATCTCTAAGTTCCAGGCCAGCCTGGTCTGCAGAGCAAGTTCTAGGACAGCCAGGGCTACATAGAGAAATCCTGTCTCAACACCACCCCCAGAAATCCTACCCTTTGCAAGCTCCCCACAAAGAGGACCCTCGATTAAGTGTAGCTCTGCCCAAGCGGCGCAGTGCCTGCCTACCTTTTCCAGTGTCATGGTGTTCTCCCGGGCCTGGGTCACCAGTGTAGCCATCTCAGCCTTGAACCTTTCCACATCCTTGCACTCATTGGCCCGGGCATGATGCAGGATGAGTTCAGCTACTCTGTGGCCCTGGAAGGTACACAGGAAACGTGGCTTGGTCGAACAGAGTGAGCACACTGCATGCTCCTGTCTCTCAGTTGCTTCTGCCTGGCTTCTCTACCACCCAGTTCTTGTGCCCTCACCCTTTTGAGCTACTATCATCCACTAGACCTGCTAGCTAGCCAAAGAGTTTAAGGTCTCTGCTAGCCAGCGGGCCTGCCCTATGCTTAGCCCAGTCAAGACAATGATGCAAGCAGCCTCTTTCTCCCTCCTGGGCCACATGGAGTAAGTACTTCAGTCAGGGAAAGGCTGGAGTCCTGATGCTTAAGTTCCATGACTCTGATGACCACGTGGCCCAGTTGGGGCCACCAGGCCCTACAAGCTGGGCTGGAGGGCTGAGCTGTCCTGGTCCCTGCCATGCAGCCTTTCCCCTGATCCATGAGACCCTCCAACCCAAGTGCCCACAGTCTCCCAGGACATTCGGCCCTTCCCCAGTGCCACCTCCCAAAGTATGGCCACTGTGGCTTTTGTCCCTCACATAAGTCTGGACAGAGGAAGATGGCCCCACCCACATTGCATCCCAGTGTTTAAGCAGGAGGCACCTTAAACTGGCTTCAGACCACAGTTTTAGTTGGCTAAGCAGGGACATCCCTGAGTCTTGCTTCTTTTAAAAAGCTCTCTAGCTGGGTGTGGTGGTGCACATCTTTAATTCCAGTGCTCTGAAGGCAGGGGCAAGTGGATCTCTGTGAGTTCAAAGCCAGTCTGCTGGACTACACAGCAATTTCCTGGCCAGCCAGTGTTACAAAATAAGACCCTGTTTCAAAAAAAGCCCTCTTTTTCAACATTTTGTCACAGGAAAATCCTATTCCATGCAGTCAGAGTGTTTTCCCAGCCTCCTTGCCATGACACTTCATCTGGACTGTCAGACTTGTGTTCTCTAATAATAAGTCCCAACCCCTGAAGCCCCCAGAGTGTTTGGGGGAACCACTTACATCCCCACACCACAGATCCCAACCATCTCGCCCCACGTGGAGGACAAGTTCTCTGTGGTGTGGACGCTTCCCACCCTTTGCGGCCAAGGGCACAGATGGAAGACAGCCACTGTTTTATCAGAAAGCTAGAGGACCAGAGAGACAGCTCAGCGGCTCAGGGTGTCTGCCACACAAGCCTGAGGACTGACTCCAGTCCCTGAAAAGCAGGGCTACAGGACAGAGCTGCCTCCCGAAAGTCCCGAAAGTGTCCCCTGCCCATCCCATGCACACCATGTCTCAAGCTCACCTGCCCACTCATACACATCACACACAAAGATAATAAATAACGTGTGTGTGTGTGTGTGTGTGTGTGTGTGTGTATGTGTGTGTGTGTGTGTGTGTGTGTGTGTGTGTGTGTGTGTGTGTGTGTTTGGAGCTGAGGACCGAACCCAGGGCCTTGAGCTTGCTAGGCAAGCACTCTACCACTGAGCTAAATCGCCAACCCCATAAATAACATTTTTTAAAGCTAGCTTCCTGTCACCATCATGCCAACAAATTTGCTGACAGATTCACAAATTTACGACAAATTACAGTCACACAATGCAGAAGAACGCCTTCCCAACTAAGGGTGCCAACCTTAAGCTGCCCAGCCTGAGAACCAGCACATTGTCAATGCCCACCCCTACTCCACCTGTGTCCAACCACAGCAATCTGGTAACCCTGAGCTTTCACCAGAGACAAGGACTAGGAAGTGATTCATGCGGTTCCCCAGAGCCTAAAGGCTGACCCCAGTCAGTCTCACCTGCCCCAGAACTACAGCCAAGAAGACTGCCCGGAAATTCCTCAGGTCTGAAGCCTGCAACTCTGCCACAATGCCAGCATCCAACAACACCAGACGCAGTGGGCACAGGGCAGGCGCTAGGGTAGCCACCAGTGTGTCACGGACGTTCACCTGCTGCTGTTGCGTCTCCAGGCTTGGGGACAATCCATCAGCACCCTGGACCAGGATGTTCCCAGGGTGAAGGTCTCCATGCACAAAGTTATCCACAAATATCTGGAAGAGACTGTACCAGTCAGGTCTGTGTCAACCCTCCCACCCTAGCACTACTGGGGTACCTGCAGAAAAAGTTTTAGGGGACAGCTGGCTGCCAGTGACAAGCCCAAGAGGTGGACCTTCCACAAAGCCCTTGCTGCTAGATGCTCTCAAACAAGAGTTTGTGCAGGGCTAAGCCAAGTCAAAGGGCTGGTTCTGTTTGGTTTGGGTTTTCACTTTATGACGACACAGGGTCTCAGGTAGCCCAGCCTGGCCTTCAACCTCGGAGAGACCTACCTGCCTCACCTCTCAAGGGCCGAGATTCAAGGTCCTGCCTGCCCCAGCTGTCCCTCCCTGTCCCCAGGTAGTAGGTGACAGAACTAACACCTGGATTCAGACACCACCAGATCAACTCCGCTCCAAGCCACCCGGGTAGACCACAGATAGATCAGCCGTGCCTCCACCGACTCAGGAGTCAGTGTGGCTTTGACTGACTTGCAGTCCTTCCACACTCCCGGGGTTCTTTCTCAGAACCAAAGCAGCAATTTCAAACCTCCCTGTCTCCTCTGCACCCCATCAGTAGAGAGATAACCTCAGCTCTCGACTCGCCAGGCTTCTCAATTCATTGCTGGGGATGCCAAGTACTATCCTATATGCCCAAGTGCCCAAGTGGGGGCATCCGTAGCCTTTTTCTGCACATCACCTGGTTCCAGACACATCCCAGACCCAGCTCTAACAGCTAAGTATGTCCCCAGGCAGAGCAGGCATTTCCCGGTGGTTAAAGGCACCACTGAGATCCCCTGCCACAGCCTTGTGGAAGAGAGAATGAGGCTAGGGACCTCTACTTATCCCCCCGTCCTGATGTACAGGCATGAGATAGAAAAGCTCACTGAGGGCTTCCAAGACGAGAGACCCAAACAGATTACAGAACCAACATCAGCCCAGTGTGGCAGGACACGTGGGCCATAATCCTGTCCTCCCAGCGTTTGAGAGGCGGAGAAACTAGAATCAGGAGTTCCAAAGTCATCCTCACCTACATAGCAAGTTCAAGCCCAGCAACATGAGACCCTGTCTCAAAAAAGAAACAAAGAACCCACCCTTTGCCTCTGGGCTACTGCACCTCCCTGCCTCACCTCACTCCTCCAACCCAACTCCACCCTGAGGTCACCGTTGTCGTGACCAGCTTATCTCTGCCTCACATTCTTCCACTGCCTGCATCAGGATTAAAGAATGATTTTTTCTTAATTTATTAGGGGCCAGTAAGACGGCTCAGTGGATGAAGGTGCCCGCCACCAAGCCTGACCACCTGAGTTTGACCCTCAGGATCTATGTGATGACAGAGGACTGGCTCCTACAAGTCATTCTTTGACTCGCATGCGCACACCATGCGGCATGTGCGGGGTCACACATACACAAACACACTAAAATTTTTTTTTAATTAAAAATCTGGGGCTAGAAAGGTGGCTCAGTGATTAAGAGCACTGGCTGCTCTTCCAGAGGACCTGGACTAGATTCCCAGCACCCACTTGGCAGCTCACAACCATTTGTAACTCTAATTCCAGGTTATTTAATGCCCTTTTCTGGCTTTCTGGGCACCAGGCAAACTTTTAAAAATTAAAAGTTCTTAATAAATTAAAAAATATGCAAATTAAAAAATATACTTAACACCTGTATACTTGCCAGGCATGATGGCCTATAATCCTGGTACTTAAATAGTGGAGGCAGAGGATTAATGTGAGTTTGAGGTCAGCCTGGGCTCTATAATAAGTTTCAAATCATTCTAGGCTATACAGAAAGAGCTTGTCTCAATTTAAGTGTGTGTGTGTGTGTGTGTGTGTGTGTGTGTGTGTACTTCAGCAAATGTACTAATGAAACATGGAATTTTTTTAAGGGACTAGAACTCAGATGAGCCTGTTGCCCATGGATTAATCCTGACTCTGAGATGCTCTGCACAATGTACCTTCACGTCTCCCACTGCAGCGCACCCTTGGCACAGGCTGCTGTCTCTAGACAAGTCCTGCCAATTTTCTTCATGTTGGTGACCACAGCCTCCCCATCCCAGATGAAATGGAGCTACCTCCTGGGTGAAGCCCTGGATCCAGAAAAGGTCCCTTTAAGCTAATACTTGAGCACAGGCCCTCAATGGCATGCGATTCTTTCCCGCTGGTTTACCCAGTAAACATTGTAGTCAGGTCTGCTTTTAAGTAAGTCCAACACTTCATTCAGCACTTGGCATACAGCAGGTACTCCATAAATACTGAATGAATGAAGAACGAACGAATGAATGAATGAATGAAGCAGTATCTAACCCACATCATACCTGCTGTTGGTCTAAACAGTGTGCTTACCATTCTTTCCACAGCACACAGAATGCACACCACAGAGCAAGGTCTCAGCACAAGCTCTGGGTCACAGAAGCATTTGGGGGGTTCCACTCAGCTCAAGTTCTCAACCTGCAGCTCTCTGCTTGGCTGGCCCTTCCAGTCCATGCCCAGCAGAGCCCTCTGCACCTTCCCTTAAACATTCTGCTTGTGTACTGAGCCTCAGCACCCAGCTAGGTCCCCCCACTTTCCCTTATGCAATCTGCCCATGCACTGGACCTCAACATCAGGGGCCCCCAGCTCACCATCTTCAAAAGCATGTTGATCCCCAGCCTTGCAATCTCCCTCTTCAGGTCGGCAGGAGTTCCTGCCTGCTGGTAGCTGGACACTGGGACACTCTCCTTAAAGACAGCAGAGAGACAGCTTTAACCTGCTGGCCACCCCACCCCCTCCCCAGCCAGGTCACACATCGATCCTGTCTTTCTCGGACAGCAAGATGCCCCAGAAGCTGATCCTAAAACCTCTATAAATCTGTCACTAACACACTGGTTTTAATCTATTTACATTTCCTTCATATACTTCTCAAAAGAAATACCCAAGAGTTTGCAGCCATCAACTCTGCAACTAAGAGGAGAGAGATGCTTGAGGCCCTGGGAAGAGACAGGAGTAGATAGATGCTGAGATTGAGCCAAGAGCCAGGCGTGGTGGTGCAAACCCGTAATCCTGGCCCCTAGGAAGCAGAGGCAGGAAGAACAGGACTTTAAGGTCATCATTTGAGGCCAACCTGGAATGTGTGAAACTGTCTCAAAACAAACTAAAACAAGAGAATCATCCAGCAGAGACCTGAGCTGGAGCTCCAGCAGGAAAAGGGAAAGAATGAGCGGGCGACTAGCAAATCACCACTTGGTTCAGTCTGTCAAGGCGGCCCGCTGAGCTGGAGCACAAAAAAAAAAAAAAAAAAAAAGCCCAGCGGGGCTAAGAACAGCCTCAGAGTCACACAGCTGGGAGACAAGTCTCTGGATGTCACACTACCTTTTTTTTTTTTTTGGTTTTTCGAGACAGGGTTTCTCTGTGTAGTTTTGGAGCCTTTCCTGGAACTCACTTTGTAGACCAGGCTGGCCTTGAACTCACAGAGATGAACCTGCCTCTGCCTCCCGAGTGCTGGGATTAAAGGTGTATGTCACCACCGCCCGGCTCATTACCATTTCCTAATGAGACAGGTCTAGGGGACAGCTAAGGCAAATGCTTGCCCGAGCACTTCCTCTGTGTCAAACGTGTTTTCATTCAGTGTGTCACTGACTCCTGGGCAGTGCCATGCGGTCCCCAGCTAATAAGACAGCAGAGTGAGTTCTCAATTCTAAGAAGTCTGAGGCTACCTGCAGCTCTGGGACCAGGTCACAGCTCACTCCACTCTGTCTCTGCCTCCGGCTCCTCCCAGAGCCGCTATGGCAGGTGTATGGCAGGATGGCTATGGCAGGTGTATGGCAGGATGGCTCTGGCAGGTGTATGGTAGGATGGCTCTGGCAGGTGTATGGTAGGATGGCTATGGCAGGTGTATGGCAGGATGGCTCTGGCAGGTGTATGGTAGGATGGCTCTGGCAGGTGTATGGCAGGATGGCTCTGGCAGGTGTATGGCAGGATGGCTCTGGCATGTGTATGGTAGGATGGCTCTGGCAGGTGTATGGCAAGATGGCTCTGGCAGGTGTATGGTAGGTTGGCTATGGCAGGTGTATGGCAGGATGGCTCTGGCAGGTGTATGGTAGGATGGCTCTGGCAGGTGTATGGCAGGATGGCTCTGGCAGGTGTATGGTAGGATGGCTATGGCAGGTGTATGGCAGGATGGCTCTGGCAGGTGTATGGTAGGATGGCTCTGGCAGGTGTATGGCAGGATGGCTCTGGCAGGTGTATGGTAGGTTGGCTATGGCAGGTGTATGGCAGGATGGCTCTGGCAGGTGTATGGTAGGTTGGCTCTGGCAGGTGTATGGCAGGATGGCTCTGGCAGGTGTATGGTAGGTTGGCTCTGGCATGTGTATGGCAGGATGGCTCTGGCAGGTGTATGGCAGGATGGCTCTGGCAGGTGTATGGTAGGTTGGCTCTGGCAGGTGTATGGCAGGATGGCTCTGGCAGGTGTATGGTAGGTTGGCTCTGGCAGGTGTATGGCAGGATGGCTCTGGCAGGTGTATGGTAGGTTGGCTCTGGCATGTGTATGGCAGGATGGCTCTGGCAGGTGTATGGCAGGATGGCTCTGGCAGGTGTATGGTAGGTTGGCTATGGCAGGTGTATGGCAGGATGGCTATGGCAGGTGTATGGCAGGATGGCTATGGCAGGTGTATGGCAGGATGGCTCTGGCAGGTGTATGGCAGGATGGCTCTGGCAGGTGTATGGTAGGATGGTTTTCTGTAGTGCCGGGCAAGCCCTCCACCATTCTCAACCCTCTCCCAGTTTACAGACAGGAAGTACATCCTCTCTCCAGAATGAAGACCCTATGCGGATGGCCAGTTATGAGTGACATGCAGAACCAGAGCCTTACTTCGTACGTTTCCACCAGGATATCCCGAGTAATAAGGGGGTGGATTGGGGTGGGGAATTTCACAGACGCCATGTCCTGGAAGTTGTGCTGAAAGTGTTCTAGATTCTGAGCTTCATAACGCAGGTCTATCTGCAGAGGTGGAGAGGAGAGAAGAGTTAGTGTGCACAGGGAGCACCTCTATGACGCCAAGAAGCAGCTCCGCAGCTTCCCCTTCCTCTCCCCTCACCTGCTCCCCTGGCTCCACCAGGAACCTCGGAGAAGACACACCAGCTAGCTGCCGCAAAAGGCGGAAACATCCACTGTCCACGTGAACTCCCCTAAGGCAGATCTCAGATGCCCTGGGAGGATGTGGGCCTTCACAGCAGCCAATGGATGCCCATCTGACCTCAGAGCTCTTTTTAGTGCCCCAGTGCTCAGCTAGCCTAACCGTCCACCCCTTATGATCAATGTGCTACAGCCACTTCCACACAGGGATGGCCTGGGCCTCCAACCTATTGCAGCAACTGCCGTAGTTGAATGCCCACCACTCCCCTCCCCTTTTTTTGTTTGGTTTTTTTTTTTTTTTTTTTTTTTTTTTTTGGTTTTTCAAGATAGGGTTTCTCTGTGTAGCTTTACGCCTTTCCTGGAACTCACTTGGTAGCCCAGGCTGGCCTTGAACTCAGAGATCTGCCTGGCTCTGCCTCCCGAGTGCTGGGAATAAAGGTGTGCGCCGCCGCCGCCGCCGCCGCCGCCACCGCCCGGCTCCAACCCGTTTTTATTTTAATAAACTTCCCAACTTTTCTCCTAATCTACCTGATATATCCATGTCATGTGAATGGTGTCATCCACACTCTTTAAAAAAAAATTTTTTTCGCTGGGTGGTGGTGGCACACACCTTTAATCCCAGCACGTAGAAGGTAGAGGCAGATAGATCTCTGTGAGTTCGAGGCCAGCCTGGTCTACAGAGCTAGTTCCAGGACAGCCAGGGCAACAAAGAGAAACCCTATCTTGAAAAACAAACAAACAAACAATAAATAAGCTAACAAATAAGTAAGGTTTGTTTTACATGTATAAGTGTTTTATGTGCACATATGTGTGTATACCACATGTGTGCCTGTTGCCCACAGAGGTCAAAAGAGGCGGTCAGAGTCCCTGGAACTGGAGTTACACTGGAGTTGCCTGTGGGTAGTTCTCTGCAAGAGAACTCTCTTAACCAGTGCTCTTAACTCCCGAGCCACCTCTCCAGCCCTGAAGTTGCTGCTCTCTAGAATGACATCCAGGTGGGTCATGACTGGGCTCCTGCTGCTCTCTCTGGATGCACCTCTTTGGTGCTCCCTACCTTCCTCTACATCCCATCAAGTCTACAGAGCGCTGGGCATGCGTGCAGCCTGGCACCGTGGATCCCGAGTGTGGAATAACTGCCGTGACTGCACACAGAGCACTGAAGCAGACTTGTAGACACACACACCTGGCCTGCAATGTGCTGCTGCACCTGTCGGTCAGGGCTGGCCGGAGAGGCTGGTCTAAAACACACGGGTAAAATACGGGGATGTAGTTTCAAGAGATGGGACCTGAGGTCTGTGGGGCTTTAATGGGAGCTGAAGCTCAGGAGGGAGGCGAAGCCAAGAGTCAAGATGAAGAGACAGTGGTTGGAGTAGAAGCTGTTTGCTCCGTTTTCATTGCCTTATCATCAAACTGGCAATACTCCAGAATAGAAAGCCAAGCTCATCGGGCGGTGCAGGCACACGCCTTTAATCCCAGCGCTCGGGGGGAGGCAGGGGCAGGCGGATCACTGTGAGTTCAAGGCCAGCCTGGTCTACAGAGCTAGTTCCGGGACAGCTAGGACTGTCACACAGAGAAACCCTGTCTCGAAGAAACAAAAAAAAAAAAAGAGAGAGAAAGAAAGAAAGCTCTCTACTCTGTTCTGGTAGGTCTCCACACATACCTCTCAGTTCCCCACAAATTCCTATTTGAAATCCTAGCCTCCAAGGTAATGATATAACCGAGAAGGACTTTGCAGAGTGATTAGGTCTTGAGAGTGCAGCTCTGTAACATCCTTATACAAAACGCCTGAGCCCCTAGCCCCTTCTACCCTGGGAAGATTCCATAACCACAGTCTCTCGACTCCAGGCTTTGTCTTCGGAACTGCTGGTAAAATTCACTGCTGCTCTACTTATGCCAACAGCCCAAATTGTCCATTTTTGTGTTTTGAAATAGGACCTAGCTGCCTGGAACTCACTTGGATTAAGTTGGACTTGAACTTCCAGACATCTGTCTGCCTCTGCCTCCTAAGTGCTAGGATTACAGGCCTGAGCCACTACACCAGGTACCCAAATGCTATTGAAACATTAAAATGTGTGCCTGGAACTTAAAAATCTTCACCCAGAATATATAAATGAAGCCTTGGTACATAGCTTCTGAAACTCTGCCCATACCTGAGCCACCCAGTAGGGAGCCAGTGCAGATATCCACTTGAAAGCCCAAACACCTTCATGTAAGTTTACCAAGTCTGGCTATATTTATTTATTTATTTTTGGTTTTTTGAGACAGGGTTTCTCTGTGTAGCTTTGTACCTTTCCTGGAACTTGCTTAATAGACCAGGCTGGCCTTGAACTCACAGAGATCTGCCTGGCTCTGCCTCCTGAGTGCTGGGATTAAAGGCGTGCGCCACCACCACCCGGCCAAGTCTTGCTACTTATACAAATGCCCCCAAGGGTCCCCAACAGGGAGAAGGTCCCTGTCTAACTCAATTAGCTCTAAAAACAAAGCAAAACAAAGAGAATGAGTCTTCCTTCCCTAGAGGTCAGCCTCTGGTGGTTGCAGTTAATATGACCCCTTTAGTTTCATTTTTCCCTGAGGCACAAAGGGAGCCTGTATCTCCTCAGTGCTCTCAGAGGTCCATGGAGCTCTGGTTGGCCAGCTGGAAGGAGGAGGTGTTTCCCACTTCCTGGCCTGCCCATAAAATCTCTCCCAACTTCCATGTCAGCTCCATTCCACACCAACTATGCTGGAGATGGTAATAGGGAACAGGAGGGACAGATAAGGGCATTTTTGTTCTGTATCACAAGACATACCTGCATTTTATATTGCAAAAAGGAATCTCTCTGTCCAGTTAGTCATGGCGTAACCGGCACAGCATGTTAACTGCTTGCTGTGAGATGCCGTGCTCCCCACCTCTGCTCAGATGTCCCCACCGGAGAAGCACAAGGTTGATAACTGTACACTACACAGCCGGTGTTTCTAGAACTGCCTGAGCTCAGATGTCCAGAGAACCAGGAAGAGTGCAAGTGACGAACGCCAGAGAGGCACGAGCCTCAAAACTATAGCCAACGGGCTGACCAGAGGGGCAAGCCTGAGCTCCGGAATGAATGGCTGCCTTTGTTTCCCCACTCCCAGCCCACCCCATAAAGCCTGCTAACTGGAGAAAATATGTAAGGCGGGTCTTTTTGTTTCTAAAAGGATGTTAATCTATTACCATCTCAAACCACAGGCTTGCGAAATAAAGCACAATTTAAAGATTCAATTCTGAGCCAGTAAAATGGCTCAGTGGGCAAAAACACTTGCCATGGGAGTCCCAGTCTCAAGGACCCACTCTGTGGAAGGAGACCACTGACTCCTCAAAGGTGTCCTCTGACATATACATATGCCATGACATGCACATGCCTACCCATCTCCACACACCCACACAAGAAGAAATAAAATGTAAAATAAAAAACTGTAAAGGGTTAGTTTTTGTCTCTCTCCATTGGCCTCTGTGGTGACAGGCAGCACTGGTTTTCCAGTTGGGATGGCAGAGCCAATCTTGCAAAGAAAATGGGTCCTAAAGCCACTCCAAAGGAGAGCTCCCTCTCCCTCAGGTCACCTGAGTATAGGCAAGAAATAGCCTAGCTATATGAAACTGCTGGGACTGGGCCATTGTTTTGTTTCATCAGCTAGCATTACCCACCCTGACTAATAGATCATGCTCTGCATGACATGTTGGGAAATTACCTACCCATTCACCTGTTCAGAAGCATCTACTAATGGCAAGAAGTATGGTAGGTGCTATTTACAACTGAGAGAAGGAGTCACCTGTTGGACCATGAGCTTCTCAAATTCCTCCACAATCTCAGGCAAGCTAAGCCATTTGACTCCTGGTAAAAGCCCCAGGGCTTGGCTGCCAATCTTCATCAGCTGTAAATCCATGTACACCTGAGTGAGCAAGCCAGGGTGTAACACCTGCCAGAAAGAACCATGAGACAAGACAGAATCAGGAGACAGCATTTTACTGAGCAAGCATTGGCTCCCACCTTCAAAAGAACCACAGTGCCTCTCCTCAAAACAAAGGGTAGTAACACAATACCCAAGATGCTCTTGGGTAGTGGTCCCTCCTCCCCAGAAGTAGCAAAACCCAAGTTTTTTTTTTTTTCCCCTCCCTCACACTATTCACACCACCACTCCCTCAAGTCAGGAAATGAAACCAGGGCCTGTTGTGGAGGAATACACCTTGAATCCCAGCACAGAGGGGGCAGAGGCAGGCAGATCTCTGTGGTCTACCCTAGTGAGCTCCAGGACGACCAAGGGAGCTACAGAGTACGACTCTACCAAAGAAACCACACACCACCACCCCAAAAAAGAAAGAAAAGTAAAAGAAACAACTTGGGCCTGGAGGCCTAGTAGCACTGGTGATCCCTGCTACTTGGGAGGGAAGAATCATAGGTTCAAGACCTGACTGGGAAACTAACTTAGCAAGGCCTTGTCTCCAAACAAAAGTAGACTGAAGGCTCACAATATAGCTTAGTGGCCTAGCATGTGTGAACTAAATTTTAATTCACCCTAGATGCAATCCTCACTACGAGAGAGAGGGGGAGGGGGAGAGGGAGAGAGGGAGTGAGGGGGAGAGGGAAAAAGGGAGGGAGAGAGAGAGAGAGAGAGAGAGAGAAATGAAACAGCTTACTTTTAACAAGCATTGGCTGAGCTAACAACAATACAGGTTGAGCAGCCCAAATCCAAAACCCAAAACTGAAAATGCCCCCAAATCTGAAACTTTCTAAGGACTGACCTAACACAAGTGAAAAATTCCAAAATCTGACCTCAGGGGATGGGTTGAAGTCATAACAAAGGTGCACTAAAAATATTGCAATAACTTGTAGTCTACATGTATAAAGGGTGTGTGTGTAATATAAATGAATTTCATATTTCATGTTTAGACTCGGGTCCTATACCAGGATAGCTCATCAAAGACATGCAAGGTAAGTTGATCAAAGAAGGTAAGTTGATCAAAGATGGGGCGCACCAGACTGAGGCTGAGAGAGCACTTACTTTCACTGCTACTGGGATGAGGTGATCCGACGTAGGTGGATGGCCAGGAACCTGAGATGTGCCCACTTCTGACCTAACAAGGTCAGTTTTAGGAAGCAGCAGCTTTTCTAGAAATGCTTCATCGGCAAGGTTTTCTAAAGGCTTCCATTCCTTCGCAAAGGGCTGTCTCGGCATCCCGACTGCCCCGGTTCCTGAGGACAGCTGTGGGACAGAGAGGTCCCCAAGTCTCCAGATTCTGTCCTCCAGCAAGGCAGTGCTAGCGAATGCTTTGTACACCTGTGCCACACAACCTGAACCCACAGGTTCCTGGGTATCAAAAAAGAGGAGGCTGCCCCAGTCCTCCCCAAATGCCTGCTGGAGTAAGCATTCCGTGTGGGCCCAAGGGTGGGGGGTCACCTGGACATGCAGCTTGGAGAACTGGACACAGAAAGCCTCTGAAAAGAGATCTCGCCGGGTGCCGGCCCATTGGCCCAATTTGATGTATGTTGGACCCGAGGTCTCCGTGGCTTTCAAAAGTAGGTGGAGCCAGAGGGTGGAGAGGCTAGGAGACAGGTAGGTGAGAGGGTACAAGACCAGGAGGGGGAAGAATTTCGCCAAGAGAACGCCAGCGCGGAGCCCTAGGCGGAGACACAGTAAGACACGGCCCAGAGGCCCTGCTTGGGTCACTTCCACCCGTCCATTTTCAGCCAGGTCACTCCAGTGGGTCTTTCGTTGGCACAAGCTGCCAGACGCCCCCTCTCCAACATTCCCATGGGCTGAGATAAATTTGGGCAAAGTACCCAGCAGAAACCAACATAGTCTGGCATTGCGAGAGCACCCCAGGGGTCTGGAAAGGCCAAGTTCCTTCCCGAACTCAAAGCATCTTAAGTGTGACAAGCAGACCCTGACGGACAAACGCCAGAGGGTTACCATCCTCCCCAGGCCCCGAGGCCTAGGCTGCTTGCCCTCTACTTAAGGAGAAGCCATTTGTGGAGATGCTCCGGGAGAGTTGAGGATAAGTCGGACCGACCCCACCCCCCGCCCCCTCCAAGGGCCGCCGCCTAAGCCAGGCCGGGCCCGGGGTGGGCGGCGACCTGAACCAGGGACCCCGGGTGACGCGGGGTCAGCACGCGCGCGGGCTGTCTGGTGCCAGATCGCAGAGTGTCACCGAGCGCCAGGGGTGGAGAGGTGGACCCGTGGCCTGCAGCGGACGGCGGGACCTCAGAGAGCCGTAGCGAGGCGGGGGACACACACCGAACTACTCCGGGACCAGCCCGAGTTGATAACCGCAGCCAGGCAGAGCACTTAGCACCGGGGCCCGCGCCGCCGGCGACTTCCGGTACCTGGCTCCGCCCTCTCCGCCCAGGACACGCTCCTTAAAGGGGCCGCGGCACGAACCAGGCCAAGGGACACACTGAGTCCCAGAAGGGATTTAGCACAAAACACCGAAGCACCCTCTGTGACCCCTTTTTCCCTGTCGGCCTCTCCTTTTCGGAGCTTCGAAGTTTAACCCCTAGAAATGTTAAACCGCACAATGGATCGCAGGTGTGTCCAGCGGAAGGCGACCTTTTCAGCCGTTGGGTGTGGGTCCTGGGTTCTTGAATCCCAGGCTACCAAGACTTAGCGGTGGTGTTTAGACCTTAGGGAATGACTTATACATTTGACGAATACTTATTGAGCCCAATCAGTCTTTCTCTAATATGTATTAAACTAGGTATTATTCTGGACTCTGGGGAGTGGACATATTCGTGCTATTCTCACCCGTTAATTACTGCGAGAGTAGGGGGAGTCTATACAGGAACACGAGACAGCTAGGTGGATTAACGGTGCTTGCTGTCAAGCCTAACAACTGAGTTCTATCCCAGGAACCCACCCGGTGGAAGGCCACCGTTTTCTTTAAGTCGTGTCCCCCACATATAAAAGAAATGTGATGAAAATAAATAAAAGTGTAGCAAGGGCCACGGCTCCATGAGGAGCCCGTGGTGCCATAGGACCAGGCTACTTTGGAGAAGAAATAAGGGTCTTGGGAGAGAGGCCAAATGAAGAAAGCTCCAGAGTAAGAAAGACTTTTGATGTTTGTGTGTGTGTGTAATCTTGAATAACCACAGGGAGGTCAGACAGCCTTGGACTTGGTGGAGTGGCAGGGGTTGGGGGTGGGCAGTGGAGAGACAACATCGGTTTTCAAAAGTGTGTATTGTTCTTTCAGACGGCCTAAATTCGGTTCCCAGTACCCCCATCTAACAACTCTCAAGCCCCTGTAACTCCAATTCCAGGGAATCTAATGCCCCCTTCTGGCTTCTGAGGGTACACACACACACCAGCACTCAGGAGGTAGAGGCAGACAGAGTTCAAGGCCAGCCTGGTCTCCATAGGGAGCTCTAGGCCAGCCAGGGATACAGGGTAAAACCCTGTCTCAAAAAGCGACAGGGGTGCTGGAGAGATAGCTCAGCAGTTAAGAACATTAGCTTCTCTTCCAGAGGACTCTAGTTCCATTCCCAGCACTCACATGGCTGCTCACAACTGTCTGTAACTCCAGTTCCAGGGGGAATCCAACATCCTCTTCTGACTTCTACAAGTGATGCACAGCTGTGCATGCAGGCAACACACCCATACACATAAAGCAATAGTTTAAAAAGGAAGCAAGCTGTATGTATGTGATATGCTTCACCCCACACCCAATTAGCCAACATCATCATTTTTTTTTTTTTTGAATGCCGAATGCCGTTTATTGAAGGAGGGAGGAGGTCTTAAATACAGGCTTATAGCACAATGGGAGAACCCCAGAGGGCAGAATAGAATGAAAGATTAACTAACTGTAGTAGCTACTTTTGCTGCCAGAGTCTCCATTGTGCTAGCTGTAGTAACCAATTATGAAGTGGCTGATGGGTTCACAACACGCCCCCAAGGTTGGGCGTGTTTGTGCATGCCCGGTGGACGCTTCTGCCTAGCCAGTTCCATGTCAAGATAGCCATTTCCGGGTCAAGGCGTCTCTCGTGACCAGGATCCGTGACTTTGCATGGTTGTGTAAGAGTGCACAATGCAGCCATGTGATCTGCGCAGGCGTGGAGTAGTTACGTCGACCTGTGTATGCGCATATGCCACCCAGCCTTTATAAGCTGGCACCACATTCCTGGCTGCCCTCTTCTTCTTCTTCTTCTCCTTCTCCTCCTTTTTTCCCACACACGTGTCTCTCCCACAGGCCTGGGCACTCATCTGTCCCTTTTATCTTAATAAAACTCTTGTTAGTGGATTCTGTCGTGTTTCATGGCATTCCCTCGCAGGGTAAGAGCGCCGCTAATTAACTAACAATGGCAATCCCAGAAACAGTGGCAGCAGTGGCCACCTCTGCTATAACAGCAACAACAGCAGCAGTGATGTCAAATTCTCTTCTGGAGCGTGTGGGCATCCACTGGTATGGACATAACTCCAGGAACACAAACCACCAAGGCCCATTTCTCTTGATCCCAGCATGACTTAAGCTGGCAGCTCTGCAAAAGAACAACTAAGAACCATAAAGAAAAAACAGGCAGCTCACAAGGAGCAGAACTAATAGTCTCATAATAGCTACATTCAGGCTCACAAATTTTAAGGTATCTTCAAAGGAGGCTAAATGAATTTCAGGAGGCCAATAAATGTTGCAGAAAGCCATTCCTGAAAAGTAGGTACTGTACCAGTTTGAAGAGGATTGTGAAAATGAAAAGGCTTAGCTGGCATGCTACTGTTAACAAATGGAGGTCAGTGACCTTCAGGGTTATCCTTAATCTCCAAGGTGTCTGGGTGACACATTCTTAAACATACTTGAAAAAGCAGTTACCATACATTACCTTCTGGAGAATCCAACCGCATGGCTACAGTTCCTAGGCTTACGTTAATGTTTGCCAAAGCTGGCCATGTTGGGCTCTCAATCCCCATTGGCATCAGAAGGGGAGAGTTTTTCACGAAGGCCCAATACGTCTCTGCCAAAACATGGTCATTTTTATCACTTAATGGAAAGCAGAAGTAGTTCTGTTCTCCTGAGTCATATAACAGGCATGGAAGATGCACTGTGGAAGATCTCATCTGTTTTCTATGTGATTATTTAGCAGTATTAGCACTGTTACTATCATTTTAAGATAAGGCCTTACTCCATAATCTAGGCTGGTCTGGATCTCACTACAGAGCCAAGCTGGCCTTGAACTTGAGGCAATCCTTCCTCGGCTTCCCAAGTGCTTGGTCTAAAGCATCAGACCAAGTGATTTTTTTTTAGGTTTTTAGGTTTTTCAAGACAGGGTTTCTCTGTAGCCCTGGCTGACCTGGACTCGCTCTGTAGACCTCCAACCTCCAACTCAGAAAACCTCTGATGGGATTAAAGGCATGTATCACCACTGTCTGGCTACCAAGCAATTTGTTTTAAAAGAGGCCTCTATTTTGACATGTTCCTGAGGATGACCTTGAACTTCTGGTCTTTCTGCCTCTGCCTCCTGAGTGCTGTGATGACAGGCATGTGCCACCATGACCAGCAGATCTCATTTAAAATAAAGTCCTGACCTGGCATGGTGGCACATCAAACAACTTTAATCCCAGCACTCAGAAGGCAGAGACAGATGGGTCTTTTGTGAGTTCAAGGCCAGCGTGGTCTACATAGTGAGTTCCAGGCTAGCCCAGGCTACATAATGAAACCCTCTCTAAGTAAATAAATAAACAAAGCCCTGCCAGGTGGAGTAGTTCACACATGCAATCAAAGTCTAAAGCTCACATGGGTACAGGAAACCCTACCTGAAAATAAACAAACAAAAACAAATAAATAGCCAGGCGGTGGTGGCGCACGCCTTTAATCCCAGCACTCAGGAGGCAGAGGCAGGTGGATCTCTGTGAGTTCGAGGCCAGCCTGGTCTACAAAGTGAGTTCCAGGACAGGAACAGTAGTTCAAAGCTACACAGAGAAACCCTATCTCGGAAATAAATAAATAAATAAATAAATAAATAAATAAATAATAAATGTTTTCCAATTTTCTATTGTTAAAGCCCATATCCACCCTACCTCACCCTACCCATAAAAATAAATAAAGTAACATCTTAGCCAATTCCCAGCAGGGAGTGGGTGCACCTTTGTTGCCTCCTAGAAATTTACCTATGGCACCTACCTCAAACCCTAGTGTCTGTCATAACTACCTGGAGGGCTAGCCCACCCTCAGCTTCTGTGTCTGTAAACCTAGGAAAGGGGCAGGAGAATGTGCATCTGTAGAAGGGGAAGAGGGGATGGGGGGAGCACATAAGCGCAGTTCCACAGTGTAGCGAGGGCCGTGAAAGCAATGAAGACAGGGTGGTACCATGGGACCCGGCTACTTTAGAGACGAAATGAAGGCCAGACCATATTTCACCATGGAACTCTGGCTGACCCCTGCAACAGCTACAGGCTTACAAGGAAAGCTTAGCTTGTTGAGAGTGCCAGCTGCCCCTACTTTCACCCCACTTCCGACTCAGTACTGGCTGCAGACAGCCCGACAGTCACATAACATGCCTATGATGGTTCAGTTTTTGAAGTTTTCATTTAAAAACTTTTTTCATAAAATATATTTTGATCATATTCTTTCCCCTCCCCCAACTCATCCAGATCCTCCCCCACCTTCCTACTGATCCATCATTCCTTCCGTCTCTAATTCATCCTGCTCTTTCAAAAAAAAAAAAGAAAATCAAACAAAGTAAAACTTATAAGACCAAAAAAATATAACAAAACAGAAGGCGCACAAAAAACACGGAGTCGCCAGGTGGTGGTGGCGCACACCTTTAATCCCAGCACTCGGGAGGCAGAGGCAGGCAGATTTCTGTGAGTTCGAGGCCAGCCTGGGCTACAGAGTGAGATCCAGGAAAGGTGCAAAGCTACACAGAGAAACCCTGTCTCAAAAAAACAAAACAAAACAAAAAACACAGAGTGTGTTTTGTCTTGGCCAACAGCTTCTGCACATGGGGCCTGCTCTGAAATGTGGTTGATATATTCAGGGACACTCTGTTACAGAAAACCAATTTTCCCTTTCCAAGCAGGTATTAGCTGCAAATAGCTTCTTGGTTAGAGGTGAGACTTTGTGTCCACTTCCCCGTCTCTGTGCTGGGATTTTGTCTGGTTTGAACTGTGGGTCTTGTGTGTGATGTCACAGTCTGTGTGTTCGTATGTGTGTCTCCCCTGCTGTGTAGGGAAGACTCGGGTTGCTGGGAGTCAGCCGCCACCTCGAACTATGAGAGTCTTCCACCTCCTCTACTTCATAGCTGTGATGGCTATTTTTAAATGTCAACTCAACACAACCTAAAATCACTTAGAAAAAGAGCCAGAGTGAAAGGCTGCCTAGAGCAGGCTGGCCCGTGGTCATGTCTGTGACTTAGGAAGCCCCAGCCCACTGTGGGTGGCCCCATTCCCTAGGCAGGAGATCCCGAACTATGGGAGACAGGAGAAACTCAGAGGAGAGCGAGTTCACGTGATGTGACGGACGGGGCTGTTTGGGTTCCCGCCTTGACTTCTGCTCGATGATGGGTGGTGACTGAGAATGTAAACCGAAACAGTCAAACATGGTTGTGCACGCCTTTAATCCCAGCACTTAGAAGCAGATGGATCTCTATGAGTTCAGGGCCAGCCTGATCTACATAGTGAGTTTCAGGACAGCCAGAGCTACGCAGTGAGACTCTGTCTCAAAAAAATTTTTTAAATAAGCAAATTTGTAAACCAGAAATAACCCATTCCTCCCCTAAATTGTTTGTCATCAGGCTGTCTTATCACAGCCATAGAAATGAAGCTAGAACACCACCTCTTCCTTCACCACGGCCCCAGCAACACCTGGGCCCACAGGCGTTTGTCTCCACTTGAGTTCAAGTCTCTTCCACAGTGGCGCTGGCTTCCTCTCTACAGCCTACGCTGAGTAAACAGCCCATTTGTCCTCCTTTGGGTAGCCTCCATTGATTTCCAGATTCTTCTCAACAACAAAAGCCCCAGCAAATGAAGTATCCAGTTCTTGGTAGCGTCCCTGCTGGCGTGGTTCACTCTACTTCCACTAGGTGGCAGTACTCACTTCGAAGTGTAGCCAAGCTTCCCCTAGGGTTCCATACCTGCCTAGAAGAAAAAAACAAGAGACGTAAACCTGTCTAGACGTCTCTTTGCACAGGCACCTATCCTTTTAGCATCTCCTGTGGCAGATGTGAGGCGGGGTACATCTAGTGCCCTGGAGAAGGAGGCGGAGGTTTGTTTTCTTATTTTACGTATATGGGTATTTTGCTTGCATGCATACCTATGCATCACATGTATGCCTGGTGGAAATTAAAAGAGGCCGTTGGATCCCTGGAACTGAAGTTACAGTGAGCTGCCATGTGGGTGCTGGGAATTGAACCCAGGTCCTCTGGAAGAGTGGCCAGTGCTCTCAACTGCTAAGCCAGCTCTCTAATTTCTGCATTTGACATGTTGACATTCTGGGCAGGATGATTCTCTAGTGTGTATGTGTGGTGGGGGGTGGTGTCAGGGGGGTAGGGTCCTGTAACTGGAGGATATTTAGCTGCATCTCTGACCTCTCCCCACACAATGTCAGAAACAACCCTGGTCCTACAGGTCTCTTTGGGCTGCATTAACAAAACGCCATAACTGGCTACGTGTAAACAGTTCAAAATGGCTGATGAGAAGCTAGAATTTGTCTTTTCCCATCTCTTCTTTCTCCACAAGGTCAAGGTGATTATCTAGCAAAGAAACGTTTGAAAAGGTCAGCCCTTGACCCCACTGCAAGTCCTATGTGATACACCTGGCCTGCAATTTGCCCCTAAGAAAGTTGGAGCTTGGTGTAAAAACTTTGGCCGTGGGATGGAGCTGGAGGTGAGCAGAGCACTTTCTTGGTGTGTGTGAGGCTTTGGGTTTAATCTTTGGCATCATTTAAATGTATGTGCATATTAAGTATATGCCATCATTTAAATATATATTTATATACATTTCCAGCCACCCCCATACACCCACACACATAGGGAAAAAAAATCTCAGCATTCTCAAGAGAGAAGGAGAAAGCCACTGTCAACCATGCCTCATGGTGTCCCCTCAAATCCCTCCCTAGGGAAGGCTGGCTCAGCGCCCCTCTGCCTTCCTCTTTTCTGCTCCTTCTGGTCCTTCTTCTAGTGAGACTTTCTCCCATTCCAGTTTCAGCTCAAGCACCTGCTGGCCCTTCCCAGATTCTGGACTTGTGCTAACACAGTAGGGACAGTCCCTTCTCCTCTGCCTGGGAAGTATGGGTGCACCTGCCTCTGAGACCCTCCAGCTCAGATGAGCTACACCCAGTAGTTCTGCTGACCTGGAGGCCTGGACTATCTGTTCTGAAACCCTGACCAGGCTGGACTTGGTGACTCATGCCTCCATTCCAGTACTCAAGAGGCTGAGGCAAGTGGATTGCCAAGAGTTTCAGGCTAGCCTGGGCTACAGAGTAATACCTGGTCTCATAAACAAAACCAAAGCTGGATAAATGGATTAGCATTTAAGAGTACTTGCTGCCCTTTCAGAGGACCAGAGTCTGGTTCCCAGCACCCACGTCTGATGTCTTCCAACTGCCTGTAACCCCAGCATCCCCTTTTGGCCTTCATAAGTACCTGCAGGCATGTACACCTACACATAAATAAACAATATTAAAACAAAACCCAACAACAACAGAAAACCTGACCAGTAGCCATGACGTTCAAGCTGTGATGTCATTGTCCTTAGCAGGGCAGCCAACTAGTTAACCTCTGACTCGTCATCTCTTCCACTAAATGAGAAGCTAGTTTGGGACTTACCTTCCAGGTAAGCTCTGCAAGCATGCATACCACCTGCCACCTCTGGAAGAAAAAAGCAGAATTTGTCGGGTGGTGGTGGCGCACGCCTTTAATCCCAGCACTCAGGAGGCAGAGCCAGGCGGATCTCTGTGAGTTCGAGGCCAGCCTGGGCTACCAAGTGAGTTCCAGGAAAAGGTGCAAAGCTGCCGGGCGGTGGTGGCGCACGCCTTTAATCCCAGCACTTGGGAGGCAGAGGCAGGTGGATCTTTGTGAGTTCGAGGCCAGCCTGGTCTACAGAGCGAGATCCAGGAAAGGCGCAAAGCTACACAGAGAAACTCTGTCTCGAAAAAAAACAAACAAACAAACAAACAAACAAACAAAAAAGGCGCAAAGCTACACAGAGAAACCCTGTCTCGAAAAACCAAAAAAAAAAAAAAAAAAAAAAAAGCAGAATTTGAGTGAGAATGGTAGCTGTGTAGTGCTTCTGCCAATCTGAGGAGGCTGCAGGTGGAGCTGGAGTTCCCAAGGACCCATCTAACCCCATCTGCCCAGGGACCTGAGATGAGGAAAGAGCTGATTCACTGGAGACCATAATGCCAGCTTAGCAGTTCATATAGACTAGCTCAATGCTAGCCAATCCTTCTTATTTTGATTAAATTTGTGACCTGAACAAGGTAGGGAGTAGTCAGATCCTAGGCCTTTCCAGAAGAAATGCTCTCTCCCCAGCCAAGTGCGACTTCTGGGAACACAGTGAAACACAGTCCCTGAGTGGTGGAAAAGCTGAGGTCAAGGTGCAGGGTAGGGTGAGTTTTAGCTGGGGGAGGACAAGCTGGTAATAGAGCCAGTTCACATCCTTGTGTTTTTTTTTTTTTAGAGATTTATTTATTATCTATACAGTGTCCTGCCTGCATGCCTTCACACCAGAAGAGGGAACCAGATCTCATTACAGGTGGTTGTGAGCCACCATGTGGTTGCTGGGAATTGAACTCAGGACCTCTGGAAGAACAGCTACTGCTCTTAACCTCTGAGCCATCTCTCCAGCCCCATCCTTGTGTTTTTAAACTCTTCCCTGATTCTTTTTTTTTTTTTTTTGGTTTCTCTGTGTAGCTTTGCGCCTTTCCTGGGACTCACTTGGTAGTCCAGGCTGGCCTCGAACTCACAGAGATCCGCCTGCCTCTGCCTCCCGAGTGCTGGGATTAAAGGCGTGCGCCACCACCGCCCGGCGTCTTCCCTGATTCTTGTCTTCCTATTCCTCCCAAATATGGAGGCTCAGGCAGAGAAGATGCCCAGAAACAAGATGGAGGGCCTTGCATCCTAAGCTCAGAAGGACATACAGAAGTTCTGGCCTCGGGGAGCTAGCATCTTGTATGTCCTGGGCTCATGGGGGACATGAAGAGCTGCACTGGCTTCCTCACAGATTCATCCACTTTACTTAAAGGACTGGGAACCAAAACTGTAAACCTAGAACATTGTAGGGGCCAGACAGTAGTGACGCACGCCTTTAATCCCGGCACTGGGAGGCAGAGGCAAGTGGATCTCTGTGAGTTCGAGGCCAGCCTGGTCTACAAATCAAGTTCTAGGACATCCAAGGCTGCTGCACAGAGAAACCCTGTCTTGAAAAAAGGAAGAAAAAAATTCCCCGTTTCTAGCCAAAATTTTGAGTAAATTAAATTTTCTATATATATATAATCTTTTTCTCTGAATGCAGGCCAGCATTTGGAATCATAGCCAACCTTTTTTTTTTTTTTTTCTCAAGACAGAGTTTCTCTGTGTAACAGCTGTGGCTGTCTCGGAACTCACTCTGTAGACCAAGCTGGCCTCCAGTTCACAGAGATCCGCCTGCCTCTGCCTCCCAAGTGCTGGGATTAAAGGTGTGTGCCACCACGCCTGGTTTTTTTGCTTTTGTTTTTGTTTTTGTTTTTTCAGGAATTCTGCTAACACCCAGTTGAGAGAGCCAGGGTCAAGGCTGGGCCCGGCCATGGGAAGAGGACAGGCCTGAGAAGGTGACCTCCTAAGGAGGAAAGGGGTAGGTGCCCAAGGGAGACTAGAAAAGGGCTCTCCTGGGTGTTTCCACAGGCTCTGCGTCCCCTGGGTACATGCGATCTCCAGACGGGAAGAGGCATGATCAAGAGTGTGTCAGAGTGAGACACAGACGTTCCCTGCCTCTGGTTAGGTCCCTCTTTGGTCCTTTACTCAGTGGATACATGTTCCTTCTCCCCACACCAGCTTTCAAGAGAATAGCTAACCAATGGTCTTGTCCATCATCACTGGCTGTGTATATTTTCCCATGCTCTGGCAGACAAGTGTCAATGCAGCAAATTAAAGACCCTGCCAAGAGCCCCAAGAAAACCAGTCCCAGCATACCAGGCTGGGAGGACGACAGATCTGGTGCCCCGAGCCATGGCACGATCCTCACCTTCCACGAGGGGGCAGCATAACGAAGACACGGATTGGATACTGATCAAGAGATTTTGAAAAGCTGGGGATTTAGCTCAGTGCTAGGCAAGTGCAAAGCCCTGGGTTCGGTCCTCAGCTGGGGGGGGGGGGAGTGGGGGGTGAGGGGGGGCTGCGGGGCGGGGGGGGGGGGGTAGGTGGTGCTGGCAGAACCATGCTCCCAAGCAGTGTGGGGTGACAGAAAGGACTTGGGTTCAGTGGACAGGTCTAGGCCCATGTGCTCTCCAGTAAGACTCATGACATGACAGAAAAGACTGCCTAGAACAGAGAAGTTGCTCAGAAAAACATTAGCATCCAAAAGGATTCTTGCTGGAAATGAGAAAACTTGAGGGTGATGTCCAGAGGTTTGTTCTGTGGGTGCTATCCGGCTCCTCGAGGGGAACTAGCCTGCCCAGGACCCTGGAGTTCTCCCTCTCATCTCCCCTGGCTGGTGGCCGATGGCTGAAGCCCGTGAGCTTTTGGCTGCCTACCACGCTATGGTAGAAGGCTCTGACGGGAGAGAAGAAAAACTGCCTGATTCTGTCTTGAGCCTGACATGCCCTGTATTCATGGGGAGAAGAGAATGAAAGAAAGAAAAAGGAGCTAGAGACATGGCTCAGTCGTAAAGAGGACTTGCTGAGCCACCACGAAGACCTGAGTCTGGCCACCAGCACCCAGGACAAAGGTGGGTGTGTTCTTCCGTACCCACTGTTCACCCAGCCCTGGATGGGGAGAGCAGAGACATGAGCATCACTGCGGCTTGTTGGCTGCTACCCTAGCCACAAAATGTGAGCTCTGGGTTCAAGGAGAGACCCTGCCTCAAAGGGAAAATGTGGAGAGTGATGGAGGGGGGACACCTGACATCACACCCTCCTCTAGGCTTTGGAATACCCACAGCCATGCCACACCTTCCTCCTGACCTATGCCCCCCCACACACACACAGAGGGGCGGGGGGGGGGGAGGATAACAGGAGACACAAGGGAGTGAGGGAATTCTCCTCTCACACTGGGCCAGGCACAGTAGCAGACCCTTTTCTCTATTACCCGACTTCCTCCTCACCAACACAATGAGGTGGTTACAAGTGGTTCTACTTCCACTTTACCCTTGAAGATATGGGACTCGGAGGCCGAGCAACCTGTTCTGGAGCTGGAGCTGGCTATCTAGTCCAAGTCTATGTTCTTCACCAGGGCACTGAAGGAAGAGGAAGGGAAGGAAGCAACGGATGTTCTGTAGTGGTCCAAGGCTCTTGCCGCGTGGAGAAAGCAGAATTAAAGGCTCACAAGAAGTCAGCTCTGTCCCCTTGTCTCATCCTTACCTTTCCCAGCTTGAGCCAGATCATAGTCAGCCCTCCAAATCTACTCCTCCACATCTGTGGATCCTAAAGTCTTCCCGGAACTTGTTCTGTAGACCGGACTGGCCTCGAACTCACAGAGATCTTCCTGCCTCTGCCTCCCTCCTGAGTGCTCGGATTAAAGGCGTGCACTACCACCCACCACTGCCCGGCCTGAATCCTAAAGTCTTAGATTCAGCCCACTGTTGGTGGAAAATATTCTGAGATACACATACAACTGAAAATACACAGCTGTGTGTGTGCTGGGGGTTCCTGGGAGATTTATGTAGCTCAGGCTGGCACTGAACTCATGATCCTCCTACCTCAGTTTCCTGAGTGCTGGGATGAAAGATGGGCACCACCATACAAAGTACGTATAGTCTTTTTTCTTGTCACCCATCCCCTAAACATTAGACTCTAAAGTCAGGTATGGTGGTACACACCTGTAATCCTGGCACTTGGGAGGGGGTGGCAAGTGGTCAGGAGTTAAAAATCCTCAGCTACAAGAAAAAAATAAATAAATAAAAAATAAATCCTCAGCTACATAGAAAAGTAGAGGCCAGCCTGGAATAGGAGACACAGTATCAAAACAAAACAACAAACAAACAAACAAAACAAGGGCTGGAGAGGTGGCTCAGCGCTTCAGAGCACTGGCTGCTCTACAGAGGATCCCAGTTCAATTCCCAGCACCCACATGGTGGCTCACAGCCCAACCATCTGTAACCCCATTCCAGGATCCTGATCTGAAGGCCTCTTCTTCCCTCTGCTGCCACCACACACACAACACAAGTGGAACACAGACACGTACAAGCCAAACATCCCCACACATGACATCTTCAGAAAGAAGAAAAAGCCACAACAATAGAGTCTAACAACTATTGAAAATAGTTCAAGACAGCGGGCGGTGGTGGCACACACCTTTAGTCCCAGCACTCGGGAGGCAGAGGCAGGCGGATCTCTGTGAGTTCGAGGCCAGCCTGGTCTACAGAGTGAGTCCCAGGACAGTCAGACAGTCAGGGCTACACAGATAAACCATGTCTCAAAAAACCCAAAAAAAAAAAAAATCAATATATATGTGTGTATATATTATATATATTATTTATAATTACACAGTACATTAGATTAGATGGAAGTAATTAATAATAATCTAGAGGTGAATCAAAGAGTATAGAAGAATTCATGTAGGGTATATGCAAATTCGAAACCATTTTTTCGACGAATTTGAAAATCCAAACATTTTGGTATCCAGGGAGTTGCTGAAGCCACACTCCTTCAGCTACAGAAAGCTGACTTTATGCCTACCTTAGGGCTCATTTTGCAACCTGGAGAGAAGCTGAGGATGGGGAGAGTAGGGATGTGTGCTTCGGAGCAGCCCCAGGACAGAGCATCCACCTTGTGTGTGTGTGTGTGTGTGTGTGTGTGTGTGTGTGTGTGTGTGTGTGTGTGGGAGGGGGGGATTGCTTTGAACTGCTGGAGCTAGAGACTCACCAGGGTTTGGGTGGAACCAAAAGTCCCATCTGCTGGGAAAACGGGACACCATCAGACACAAGGCCACACAAGGCCACACAAGGCCACACAGAGAAAGTGGGCAGAGGACAATGAGTGGATCTGGGTCATGGTGAAGGAGCCACAGGATGACCCAGCAGTGAGAACACTACAAGCAGTGAGTCTGAGATGGGAAGGCATTCATCCAAATCTGACCCATGGGGCAGAGGCAGGGATATTTTCCTAAGACAAGTTAGCGCCCAGAATTCCAGGATAAAATTGTGGCCTAGGAGTTGTCAAAGGACTGACTCCTCAGCCCGTGCTTTGTCAGGCCCACCTGAGACGTGATGAGCTATCTGGAAGCCACACATTCAAAGGCTCCTAGGCTCTTTTGTGCTTTGGGCTAGGGGGAGGCAGCCAGCTGGACTCCTGGCTCGGTTCCCATCAAACTTTGCCGGTTTGCTGCCGCAGGATAGCCTGTGGCCCTGGGAGTAATTAACCCTCCAGCAGCCAAGCCTTTGATCTTTATTTAGAGAGCGAAGACTTAGAAGGATGCAAACAAAGCAATAATTTGAATACTAACACTTCAAAAACAAATGCTTGGGCTTGGCAAATGTCTCTTCTGAAAGTCGACAGTGCTTCATTGAAATGGGTGTGGCATGAAGAATTCAGAAAGGCCTCGAAGATCTTATGCAATGAGCAAACCCCTCAGCTATGAAGGAGATGCAGCTCCCCCCCCCCCCCCCCCCCCCGTGACTTTAAGTAAATCCCGGTTCCCTGGTGTCTGAAGTCCACCCCCCTCTCGGTGTCTGTCCCCCGCCCCCTCCAAGCTCCCCCCCCCCCCCCCCCCCCCCCCCGAAAAGGACCTCAGTCTCCTGAGTGTTGGGATTACAGGCATGCCGGGCAGGGCCTTCCTCTATATGCAACATTATTTTTCCTCTAAGTACCCACTTTGTGAAGTTGTAAGAAGTCTGGGTCTATACTACCACCCTTCCCTCCACCCTACCCCCACCTCTCCCTCTACCCCACCCCCACCCAACCTAAGCTTTAAGCCACTAGGCTACCTCCAGAAACATAGATAGGTTAACTCTTTTGGAGGTCTCTAAGCTATAGACAAGAATGTCTTTTTTTCCAGTGTAGAGATTGGCGGGCATCTACCCCCCAGGACAGACAAATTGTCACTGTCAGGCCTGAGAACTTATCCTTTGGCACTTCTCTGCTGGGACCCCATTGCCTTCAGCATAGTATTCAAAATCTGCCCAGCCCCCCGGAATCTCCTCAGGCCTACCCATCTGCCTTCTTCTCTCTTTCTTCATAAAGGTTCCCCTAATGCCATGATGGGACTCCCCCACAGTCGCCAGTGATACGCTTGCCTCTTCCCAGACTGCCTTTTCTGTCCTGTTTCTCCAGGCCATCAAAGTCCCAGAGGACTTCATGCCCCAGCCTGTGTTCCCGACTCCCTTGCAGCCCACAGCATTTTCAAGTGGACTTCTATTTAGCGATCCTACCATCCGAAAACCTCCTGCATGTGTGCTTTCATCGTGTAAGAAGGACCAGCAGGCCGAAGAAAATCGCTTCTCTGATCGCTTTTCCTGACCAGCCCGCCTTGCAGCGGGCTTAGAACCCTTTCTGCACCCTTCTGCAGGGAGGTGGACCCGAGGATCCTTATGGCCCGCTCCTAAAGTGACTGTGAGTTGCTTGGGGGTAAATATGGACCCGTGGGTCCTAATAGCCTGTCTCATGACTGTGAGTCGCTTGTGGCCAAACAGTGGGCCGGTGGGTCTCGAAGGCCTGTCTCATGACTGTCAGTTGCTTGGGGGCAAATGTGGAGCCCAATTTTGCCTGCGGCGTTCCCGCAGCCTAGCTCCATGCTAACTGATCAGAAACAAAGCTAGGGGCAGGGAGCGTGGCTGCCGCGTCGGTGGGGACGGGTCTTTGGTCCCTGGCTAAGCGCATCTCGAGAATGGACCCCGGCCGGGGTAGAAGAGAACCCAGGCGGCCATCTTCAGCACAGAAAAGGTTAAGCCACCGTCTCCCCCACCTCCCCCCCGAAAGGCTAGGGGGCGAGTGCGGCAGAAGGTCCTGTTTACCGTGGCTCCCCCTCGGCGGCGGGCCCTGGGAGAGTGGTTGCCGTGGCAACCGGCCGGGCGCCCGCCAGCTGCGGATTAGCTCACTGGAGCGGCGGGATGGGTCGGGAGGAGGGGGCGCGCGTCACGGCAGACGGTCGCGGCGCAGCCCGAGGCAGAGGAAGGGGCTGCGCGCGCGCGCGGGCGCCCGGGCGGAGGGAGGGGACGCAGCGCGCCGCCGAGGCCGGAGGCGGCGGGGACCGGACGGGAGCGCGCGCGGCGGGGACCCGAGGGGCTCGCGGCGGCCTGGGGAGGCCGCGCGGACAAAGGCGCGGAGGGCTGCGGGCCATGGCGCCCCAGGCCCCCGTCCCCGCCGCCGCCGCCCCCGCCGGCGTCCGCCAGATGCGCCCCGGAACCCGCGGAGCCGCCGCTTGCGGGGAGGTAGGACCGGGCGCCGGGGGGTGCGGGGCGAGCTCCGGGCAAACCCGGGAGGGTACGCGCGGGGGCGGCGAGGGAACTGTGTGCAGGCGGCGCTGGGGACGCTTCAGCCCGGCCCCAGGGACACGCGCCGGCGGGCGATCCAGAGCTCTTCCCCGGGGCGGGCTGACTTCAGGGCCGAAGAAACTTGCAGAAACTGGGCAGAGCCCGGCCCTGCGCCGTGCCAGAGCTCTGGACGCCTGAGAGTGAGTGCGCGTGTGTGAGAGGGCGTCTGTACGCCGGGGTGGGGGGGTCCAGACGGCTGGAGTCAGGGTTTGCAGTGTTGGAGGGTGGGGAACGTTGAAGTTCACTTCTCCCACTTCCCTCCCGAGGATGGAGTTGGGAGCCGATGGAGCCCGGGGTAAGTCTCTCAACAACACAGGATATAATCTTGTGTAGGAGGGGGGCACCGAGATATGGAGTCAGACCACTGAGACAGAGGGAGCCCAGCGCCGGGAATCCTCTAGTGAGGGGCAGGGACAGGAAGCTGGGGGTTGCCCTCCTTGGCCCTGCATTGGAACTAGGAAAGTGCGCGGACCCTGATTTAACCAATCTGCTGAGGAAGAAGCAGGCTGACTTCTGGCCCAGGGCTCTGATGGCTTTGGGGGTTGTGACTTCAACTCCCCAAATGACAGGTAATTGTGGGGTGTGGTAATGGTGTTATAATAGTCACTTTACAGTGATTTGTTCTGAAACACTTGCACCTGCTGTGGTTACTGTAGCCTTTTCCCTTCAGTATCAAACACCTGAAGAGTGGAATGGACTTGTTTAGGGGATGGTCCACTTAGGAGGGAAGTGGAAATTCTGAGAGGAAGTTGAGGGCAAACAGAAACCAATGGTAGTTTATTTGAGACCGGGTCTCAGGATGTGAGCCAGGCTGGCCTCGAACTTACCACCCTCCCTCTTGCCTTCGCTCTCTTAAGTGCGGGATTACTGGTAGGCGCAGACAGGCTCAGTTCAGGGACTCTTGTTTCGTTTTGTTTTTTTGAGACAGGGTCTCAGGTATCGTGGACAGACTTTGAACTTGACTTTAAATTAATTTTTTTGAGATTTAATTTATTTTTATGAGTGTTTGCCTGGATGTATGTCTGGGTACCATGTGCATGACCAAGGAGGCTCTGGTGCCCGTTGCCTGGGAGTGGAGTTACAGACAGTTGTGAGCAGCGAGGAGTCGAATCCCAAGTCCTCTGGAAGTCAGTGCTCTCAACTGATGAGCCCTCTCCCCAGCTCCTGAGTCTACCTCACAAACCCTGGAATTATAGAGTGTGCCACAAACCTTTATGAGATGCTAGGGATCAAACCTAGGGCTTCCTGCATGGGAGGGTAAGCACTCTGCCTACTAAGTTATATCTTCATCTCTGAGATTAAAACAAAATTAAAACAATTTTTATTATATTTCTATTTATTGTGTATGTGCCGTGAGGCATGTGTGTAAATCAAAAGACAATTTGTAGGATTCAGTTCTGCCCTCTCATCTTGTGGGTCCTCAGGGTCGGACTTATGGACATCAGGCTCGGCAGCAAACACCTTTACCTGCTGAGCCCGCCATTCTTCAGAGACTCTTTGTGAGGTAGGGTAATGAAGACACTGGCAGAGAGTCTTATGTCTGGACGCTCATTCTGGATGATTTGCACCCCGTCTGGACATAACTTCACTCATATAAATGGCTCTGTGTGGTGGTCAGTGGGGACACAGTGATTAACACAGCCCCTTCCTTCCAGAAACTACCATTCTGATCTGGCCTGGCTATTCATGCTGTTTGCCACAGAGCCAGGAGAGTTCAGAGGGGATGCTTGTGGTGAGACCTGGGAGTCACTTCAAGAACCTGCAGGAAATATTGTCTGGAGCAGAGAGCGACATATGAAAAGTCATGGAGAGAGGAGAGAGGCAGGCCTGAGGGAGAAGCCCAGTGTGGCTGCAGCACAGTCAGAACCCCCACCTCTCTCACCACCACCCCTGCCCCACCACCCCGTGTGTGTGTGTGTGTGTGTGTGTGTGTGTGTGTGTGTGTGTGTGTGTGTGTCTGGTCTGTCTCAGCAAGGCAGGGCAAGGTAAAACTCCAAAGTAGGAGTGCGACCAGCTAGCATTGTGTCTTAGAAAGCTCACTCTGCCCTGAGGCCAGCGAGACCTAGGCTTTGCAGCCTGATAGAGTGGCAGTGTTGAGGCAGCAGGGATGGATGGAGTCTGGAGGTCAAGAGGTAGGCAAGGCTGCTGGTTTGGGACACAGGATGAGGTTACTTAAACTAGAACCAAACCCAGAGATGCTCAGCAGGAGAAAGCAGAAGAAGAGGGACATTTTGAATGGCCTGAATGGAGCGGATTACCGCACTTGGACAGTGAACTTGGCTTCCAGTTCTCTGGCAGCTTAGGAACAAACAAAAATGCACTAGATTGCATAGTTTTGGATTGGGGACAACAGAAAGCATACAAATGAACTTTCAGAACAAATTTTTTCCTGGAATTGAACTCAACTGGGAGTTCATCAGGAGAACTTCATGTAAAGACTAGGGAGTGACTTGGGGGTGGTGGTGATGGAATAAAGTCTTCCTTAGGTAAACAGAATGATAAACATAGATAAGACCAAGGTGGGGGAGACCTTCATTGTCAGTGTTACAAAAGATGGGATGATAAACTCCACAAGACTGTCCTCCCGTACCATCTATCTCAGGTCTAGAGGAACAGTTTGGGTGAGGGTGGAATGTCAGCTGGGTACAGTCATGGTACAGTGCCACCAGAGGCAGGGGACAAGACAGTGATGTCTTAGGAAGAAGTGACATATACTTTTGAATGTAGAGGACAGAGCAGCCAGTTGCCTGGCCTCAAACAGGAAGGTGGCCCATTAGTCTGTCCGTGGCTGGGCAGAGACCCTGGTGTAGTGCAGGGGAGCCAGCTAGATCCTAGTGTGCCAGTGTCACCAGCCTCCAGAAATGCCATTCAGTGGCAAAATGGGCAGAAGCCTTGGGAGCGGCATTTTGGGCTTCCCTCCTGATTGACACATCCCGGATCCCTCTGCCCTCAGGTCTTGATACTGAGTCTGCATCTAAAGGGGTGGGTGGCATTCAGCAGATCTGAACTCCTCCCCTAGAGAGGTCTGGAGCGTGGGGATTGTTTGCACAAGGAGAAGTTTCAGAAGGAGTGAGCTGGGAAGTCCCGCAGACTCCACACAGGCTTCGTAGTGACCGCTCCCTCCAACATCTGCACAAGGCGGACAGCCTACAGAATCCGTGGGCATCGCCTCACTAATGAGCTCGGTAACATTCATGAGCGGTCTCACTTAACTATAGCTTACATTAACATTGAGGAAGTGAGGGGTTCTGCTCTCCCCAGCAGGTTCCTTTTCTCTGTCTTTTATTTATTTTAAAATTTTATGTATGTCCATGTATCACATGTGTGCCGGGTAGTCATAGAGGCCAGAAGAGGATTAGAGCTCCAGAAACTGGAGTTACGGATGACTGTGAACTGCCATGTTGGTGCTGGGAATCAAACCTGGGTCCTCTGGAAGAGCAGTCAGTGCTCTTAACCCTTTTAACTTCTGAGCCATCTCCTGTTTCTTTTATTATATATATTTTTAAGATTTATTTTATTGTATGTGTATGAGTGTTTTGCCTGTGTATATGTATGTATACTAACTACATGCCTGGTGCTCATGGAGATCAAAAGGCTTCAGATTTCCTGGGACTGGAGTAAGGTGGTTGTGAGCCGCCACGTAGATTCTAGGAATTGAACTTGGATCCTCTGTTAAGAGCAACAAGTGCTCTTAACAGCTGGCCAACTCTCTAGTTTCTTTTAAAGGTTTTATTTGTAAATGTGTGCAAGTGTGAGTACAGATGCCCATGGAGTCCAGAAGAGGACACAGGGTCCCCTGGAGCTGGAGGAATAGGTGGTTATGAGCTGCCTGACAGGAATACTGGGAATGAATTCAGATCCACCGCAAGCTCAGCACCTGCTCTTAACTGCTCTGGCATCTCTCCACCAGCCCCCACCCCCGAGTTTCTTTGCTTCTTTGCTTGTGAGACAGTGTTTCACCATATAGATTGGCCTTGTTCTGTGGTCCTTCTGCCTCTGCCTTCTGCGTTAGTGATTTTTCTAGTGCTTTGATAAAACACCCTGACCAAGGCAACTTATAGAAGAAAGAGTTTATTTGGCACTTGTAGCTTGAGTTTTCCTGCCTGGCCCACAGTCAGGACAAATCTCTCTCACCTGCCAGTCCCACAGCCGTCAGACCCAACCAAGTAAACACAGAGACTTATATTGGTTACAAACTGTATGGCCGTGGCAGGCTTCTTGCTAACTGTTCTTACAGCTTAAATTAATCCATTTCCATTAATCTATACCTAGCCACATGGCTCGTGGCTTACCGGCATCTTCACATGCTGTTTGTCATCGTGGCGGCTGGCAGTGTCTCTCTGACTCAGCCTTCCACTTCCCAGCTTTATTCTCCTCCTTGTCCCGCCTACACTTCCTGCCTAGCCAATGGCCAATCAGTGTTTTATTTATTGACCAATCAGAGCAACACATTTGCCATGCAGAACATCCCACAGCAGGCACTCATGGCTCCAAAGGGTTAGAGTCCATGGTGGCAGAGCAGAGGTAGCAGGAGGCTGGAACAGCTGGGGGCTGACACCTCAAACCACAAACAGGAGGAAGAGAGCTAACTCAAAATGGTGTGAGACTTTTGAACCCTCATAGCCCAACCCCAGTGACATGCTTACTACTATAAGGCCATACCTCCTAATCCTCCCCAGACAGCCACCAACT